GCTTCTTACGTTTCTTGAATATCTACCATTTACTGGAAATACGGACAGTTGAGCGGTCTAAAACATTTAGGCAGTAACAGCACCAATATGAAAGAAAAGCACTTGCATTCTGGTACTTTTGCAGCTATGGCAAAACAGCTATTTTATACTCATTTGTTATTGGCTCTTATAGTACCTCACTGACCCGTATCACTAATCATCAAGTCCTGATGGAAGGAGAGTTTAGCGGTCGAGCCTGTTTTCATTCTAAAGCTTTTGAAAAAAACAAAACGTGTGCACTCACTAACCACAACCAACTTGACCATAACCACCAGACCAACTTGGCGGTTTACATGTACAGTGGGGTTTAGGATAACAGGGCCACACAGCAAAGCAGAAGTGCACCAAGATCCCATTGCACGTTGCAGCCATTATCTGGGCCTTCGGTAGAAAACAGAATCTCCCACCTTTATGGGTCCACCCAACTATGTGCGTTCGAGGCCAAGGCCGACGCGTCTAATATTACGCGCATTTTTTGAGTACTTTATAGCCCTGTTATTCTAGGCGTAATTTTGTAAGAAAATGAGTCACTCATGGGTGTGCACAGCAGTTCGTTAGTTCATTTCATTTTTATCAATTCTTAGGGGAAAACTGAAATTGAAATCTGTAGAGCAGAGTTTATCGACGCTGTATTATTTATTTATTTATTTCCATACACTCGAGGTGTGCCCATAAAAACTATAAAAAATACACCGTGAAAGGACCATGGCGGAAACTACAGATGGGCTCGACGCATTAACGCAACCATGAACCTGACATCCGATAACAAACACGAGTCCTGGAGACTGGGCGCTAATCCCCTTTATCATACATCATCATCATCATCATATATTGGTAATCACAATGTTACAATAGAGGAAGGCAACTCAGGATGATACCGTTGATTGACTTTGATTTGCACTGAGGTTAAACTGACTGGAACACATTGGATGCCATACTGAAGTAATTAGTAAATATTTTATTTATTATTTTATTACATTTCAAGGATGTGTCCCCTGCAAAGAAAAAAAATTCAGAAGTAAATCATAGTTAAATTGAAGCCGTACAGCACAGCAGTGAAGTGTTCGTTACTTTCCCGATCCGTTTTCCGAATAAAAGCTCAACTCAGAATGAATTACATCTTCGACGAAAGCCAAGCGTTGTACCCTTCGATCTACCTCAACAATGACACAACTCCACTTCGCAACTTCCTTTATGTGCAGGTGAATTTTTTTGTATCGGACGACTGATCCATTGCTTTACTAATGAGCGTTGTCAATAACGAATAGCTAAAGATATATTGTGGTTCAAACCTATTTCGGCATCACTATCTAGCTGTACCACTTTCACTCGGACACTTTTCAAACTTCAAACCCAGAAATTTATGCCTCCAACATAGCTTCGCTTTTATGGCCTATAAAGTGGTCGCAGAGGCTGGCCCATCCAAAAGTCATGCCAAAAGGCGGACCGTGGAGGGAGCAAGAGAACTTGTTGTGGAAGAGATGACTCTATTTCAACACGTTCGAGGCGGTGTGTGTAGGGAGTACACGAAAAAACTTCCCTTTCCGCGAATCGTGTACTCGCAGAATCGCACCTTTTCGCTTGTTTTTAGTAGTTTTTTCATTTGTTTTTTCCCTTTTTCGCTAACAACTGAATATAAAGAATAATTGAAACAATAGATAAAAAACATTAACACATTCGAAGAGATGGCATTCCCAGAAAAACACGCAAAAACTTCTTTGAGCGAATCGTTGATTGCAGAGTGCACGCGCCTTTTGCTTCATTTCTTGCAGTTTTTCCCCCTTTTTATTGCAAACTATGCAAACAATAATGCAAATTAATAGACGAATATCACCAATAACAACATTTATTGTGTATTTTCTGGAAGAAAGTTGATTTTCATGAGTAAGTTGGTTATAATAAATACGCCATCCAAATCAGCTTAATCATCGAAATCAACTTTTTTTTCCAAAGTAGAAAGGGCGAAAATTTCGGAGTAACATTGAAGGAAAGTTACAAGAAAACACATGAAAATGTTCGTAGTATTATTTTTGTGTATTATTTTGCAGTAATATCTGTACACAATTTTCAGTAAGTAAACTCTCTGTCCGATTCCAGTTAACCTCAAACGGTACAAAAAACCCACTTTGCACACCGAAAAATCGCATGAGGAACTGCTCTAAATAGAAAAAATAAACTATGTAAGTGTAATAAAAATCGTAAAAAAAACCGGACACAGGGGAGATTTTGCCGAGATCGGCAACGGGAGATTCTGGCGTTTGTTGCCCGCCGCGAACGCGCACGCAGCAAGCCGCCCCACCAAGCGCTTTTGTGGAGAGTGCATTCGAAAAACTGGTTTAGATGAGCACCAGTTCGGAGCCGGGCGCCGGCCTGTCGCTCGGGCGCATCCTCCTTCTTGTGAATGCCCGCTCGCCGGCCATGCGGATTGCCGTGCGTACTCAGTTAATGATCGGTGACCAACCACTCACTGTTCAAGAGAATCCTCTGCATCAGCCAGAGCGAAAAGCTAGCCCTTGGTTCCGTCATAGGCGCAGAAACAGCAGCAGCCCCCCCCCCCCCCGGAACACAGAAGGAGGAAAGCCGGCCTTAGCCAGCGATCCGACTGGTACGTTCATAACCTACACGGAAATAGTGCAGCCTGTTTGGACAGCCACTGAAGCAGCCTATAATTTATGCAATCTGTCTTCCTAAAGCGTCTTGCTTTGGAATGCACTCCCGCATTCAACAGTGGAATCCTTTAAATGGCCCTCACTAAAGTTGTTGATGGAAGATAATTGTGGTGAGAGTGATAAAGTCAGTTGCTGCTGTTCATAACCTCTCTGTAAACAAACCACATGCATTTGGAATAGAGCTGGCTTAGCGGTCGTACACGACGTCGTTACTAATAAGCAGTGAGGAATGAGTTCTGTTGGAATCACTGAGATCGTTATACTTGAGTCATATCGATCGCATTGTTGTTGTGAGCGGTGAAGCGGATTTTCCCATGCTACCTTGTCAATTTTAGCTCCTATCACTTCCGTACCCTAATAACACTCCCGTCCCGTATCACTATCATATCACCCTGTATCGCCTCTCGGATCAGAGGTCCCACTGTTGCTGTAACCTGCGTTACGAATCTGATGACCCTCCCCTTCCGAGGCCGCTTACCGTATCTTATCAAGTTATCACTTTCTGTCGCCCGCCAATAATGTTCCCGTCCCACACCCTATATCACCTCACGGATCTGAGTTCCCACTGTTGCTGTAACCTGCGCCACGAATTTGATGACCCTCCTCTTCCGAGGCCCCTTATCGGATCTTATCAACTGTTATCAGCTTCTGCCAGCCCCACCCTACGGCATATCAGTACTTGAAATCATGGTCCCGCCGTTGCTGCAACTTGCCACGAATTCGGTCACCCTCCCCTTTTAAGGCCCCTTATCGAATCTTATCAAGTGTTATCACCTCCTGTCACCCACAAGTGTTCCCGTCCTGCCATGTATATCACTTCTTGAAATCACGGTCCCGCAGCTGCTGCAACTTGCGCTAGATGTTGGTCACCCCCCCCCCCTTCTAAAAATAAAAATGGCCCCTTATCGAATCTTATCAAGTGTTATCACCTCCTGTCACGCACCTAAAGTGTTCCCGTCCTGCCATGTGTATACACTTCTTGAAATCACGGTCCTGCAGCTGCTGCAAATTGCGCTACGATTTCGGTCACCCTCCCCTTCTAAGGCCCCTTATCGAATCTTATCAAGTGTCATCACCTCCTGTCACCCATCAAAAGTGTTCCCGTCCTGCCATGTATATCACTTCCTTGAAATCACGGTCCCACAGTGCGTGCTGCCCTTGCCGGCGGCTACGAATTCCAGTCGCCACCCTCCGCTCCCCTCTATCGCGGCGCCCGTGGGTATCGTATCTTATCAAGTGTTATCACCTCCTGACACCCACCAAAAGTGTTCCCGTCCTGCCATGTATATCACTTCTTGGAACTGTCATCCTATCTTTTCTGCGACGCTCGCTATGAATTTCGTGACACACACACACACACACACACACACACACACACACACACACACACACACACATAGCCGATTATATATAGTAAGGATTGTAATGTAAAGTAGGTCAATTTACTATGGAAATCTGGGCTGGCCAACTCTCTTTGCACCAGGACCAGGAATTTGTCTGTAACCAATTTTTTCATAAAAAATGCAAATCGTGCTTTCTATAGGATTCAGAATCCTTCACCTTATATTTTTCATCATTATTTTATTTGTTGCCAAAGAGTTAAACAGCAAACCAATCCAAAGTTGAGGAGCAAATCAATTCAAGCTTATGGTGCTTCCAACAGGAAATCCTGCTAAAACTTGTGTGTTCTACATTATTCCATGGACGACGTGTTGTACGAGTATACTAAGGACTGGCCTATAGAATGAATAGGAGAAACTAAACAAAAAAAAAATCATGCACTAGTGAAAGATATGGATTTGTTGATCGTGATTCGTATACAATTCGCGCGGTCCCACGTGGCCCACAAAGCGCGCATTAAATGCGTATCACGCTGTCGTCAATGTGTTAATGGTATTTTTACAGGAGGCTTAGGTGGTGTAGTAGCAAGTGGCACGCTTACCACGCGCACGGTCTGAGTCAAATCCCTGGTCTGCTTTCGCTTAGGCCTACCAACATTCTATCTTGAGGGAGCGTGCCACTTGCTACTACACCACCTGAGCCTCCTGTGAAAACACCATTAACTAATGGACCGTAAACTAGTACCAGATTCGTCTCGGAGGATAACAACACTGACTTGTACATTGGCAGCCCCCATTTTTCATTGTATAGGCCACATCGCATTCAATAAGCCACTACGATTCTGAATGGAAGTAGAATGCGTGCCGCATCCCACAGAAGGGATTGATTAACGGCGAAGACTTCTATCCTTTGATTTCTTTTTTGTGGAAGCGGTCTTGTCTCTTCACCTAACCACATCTAATTATTAGTGCATCAGTTTCACTGACCAAAATATTACTGTAGAATATGGAGGAAATTATTCGTGAATTTTTTCGCGCCAAAAACGTGAGTGAGAACACTTGGAAGCGAGCAAGTTTCCCCTTTGCCGAGTACGAGTTTGGGTGACCTCAAAGAATTCGCTGGACGGGTACACTTCAGCTTCAAAATTTGCCAATTCTTTACTCTTGAGAGCTAGGAGCGGTAGATATTGGATGAGGTGTGATCGGAGATATTACTAATCAAGGACGTATTTACTTGCACAACATTTCAATCAATAACAGCATAAAACTATCTATGTGGTACACTACACGCTGAAACATGTCATTATAGGCTATCGTGTCTGAAGCGCAACGGATAGCTCAGAACTACTCAAGACCACTGCCCATCTATGTGTTTACAAAAGTCGAATACAACCCTCTCAAAGAGCTTTGTTTCTTCTACACGGCGGTAGGGACATTACGCTCTGTCGTCTTCGTACTCTACTGGGACTGCCTCAGAAGTAAACTTTAGAAGAATTCCAGACTGAAATGTAACACTACTTAGAAGCACATTCACCGCCTAGGAAGGAAGGGAGAGTGCTTTTCTGGGAGTTCGCCGGCCTTTTAGG